GTCCGCACAGGCCCTAGACCCGGGCTACTTGGACTGGTACCGGCCTACCTCTAACCTACCGCTACTGGGCCTCTAAAAATGCCAACTTTTTGTCTTCTTCTGCTCGGCCTACCTGCTACTTGAGTGTTTTTCCCCAGCTGCTCTAAGTGCCGTGGGCCTACTCCCTGCTACBRGCATGTTTACCCCCCTGCAACCCTTCAAAGTCAYGGCCACAGGTAARTACCGGCCCGGTGGGCCTTGCAACCAACAAGTACCCTGGCGGGTCACACACATACCCAACCAGCAAGCACTCAGACAGGCATGCAACCCAGCAGGCACGCACACACACACAACCGGCAAGCACTCAGACAGGCATGCAAACCAGCAGGCACACACACACACAGACTTGGGACCACAGCAGAATGCGTGAATCACAACAAGGCATTCATTCCATTGACAAATCCCAGAAATCAGCAGTGTTCTCAGTCTGTGTTTTGTGCGGGTCATTACAAATCAATCAATGCGACTAGCTTAGAGCCCGTGGTGCGGGCAATGCCCGCACAAAAAGAAGCAAACTACAGTCAATTGCATCCTTGGCAAACTGTCGAGGTTCAATCTCCCGATGAACTGCATCCTTGGCAAACTGTCGAGGTTCAATCTTCCGATGAGTATGTCAAAGTCTGATGAAACATTCTGGCGAAGTCATGTCGTTCTTGACTGTGTAGCGAATATGACAACACACAACACGGCCTTGCAAAACTCTTTGATCAGGCGGATCCATGCGTCTAGGGTCGGCACCGTACTAGCCATCATGCCATTCGCTGTCTATGAGTAAGTGGGTGTGCAGGTGGGTTTTATGACTGTATCAGACTAGTTTCTAAGACTTACTGCCATTCTTGTCAGCAATTTGGACTATCCTAGGATTGCAGGGATGGTGTGAGTAAAGTCGACCACTTTTCTCAGAGTATTGCTTTCGACAAGATGGTGAGCTCTTCTCCATCAGTCAATTAGATTATGGGCAGACTGTCGAGGTTCAACCTCTTGATAAGTCGGTGAAAATATGACGAAAGAGTCTAGCATAGCCATGCTTTTCTTGAGTGTGTAGTGAATATGACAACCTACACACACACATACACACGCAAACAGACACCACTATATACACATACATCCACATACACACACATAGTACCTAGTGGAGGTAGGTGGACTTGTGCCGCGAACGTCAGCCATGGGGTTCAACCTCCTGATGAGTTGAGGAAAGTTCTATGAGATAGTTTGTTTTCTTTTGTGTTGTGTCTAGCGAACACGACAACGCACACACAACACCCACTCACCCACCCCTACACAGACACATATACACAACAATTGCTAACGACCACCATGGGGTAAACAACTAGCTGTAGTAGCTGAGTAATTCCTCTCTTGGATTTTACCTAGACATTAGCAGATTAACTAGTACTCCCCACTGAACGTTGAATACAAGCTTTTTTTTTTTTTTTTTTTAAGAAAAAGTGATGACCTTGAGATATCATCGTTGTTGACCAACCCCAGGTAATTCAGAATTATTTATTATGTTCATCTGATTGCAGCTGGATTCGAACTTTAGTCTGTATTTCAGCAGTTCATTGGGTGTACCAGCTGAGCAAGGCCCGTTTGTAGCATACAACTTTCAGCATCTTACGACCATTACCACTCCAGGGCCAAGATCTCACTAGGAGAGAGGATTGGATTGAACTCCTGAATCTGGATGGATTTGTGCAGATCCAAAATATCAAGATGGAACTGCTTTTCTGCACCTTTGCTCAAAACATGTCCAGATTCAGGAGCCTAATCCAATTGTCTGTGCTAGTGGGACCTTGGCCCTGGCCTCCCCTTGGACATATATGCGTGACATGAACCACTGCGTGTATCATGCATTTTATTATTATTATTTTTTCAAATTATGCCCCGATGGACGACGGATCAAATCAAATACTAATCCAGCGGCCTAGCTCAGTTGGTAAGGCACGCAAGCATCAAGAGGTCTTGGATTCAATCCCCATTCACCTCATGTACCTTCCTGTGCAAGCTTGACGCCCACCACCGAGAGATAGGCCATTGGTCCCCCCGAGTGGCACTGAGCAGAGACTGCGATGCTCATAGGGGGAGGGGACCGGAGGGGAGGCGCAATGACTAGCCCATCGAAGAAGCTCGGTCTTGATGCTACCATCTGACCCCTGGCCAGTATCGCCCACCTGCTGTAGCTGAAAGGGTTTCACCCAGTTCGCAGGACAATTGCAGATCCCAGGTCTCGATCCCTACACCTACCCTGTATCCCGTATACAGCTACCGTTGACCCTGTGTGCTTTGACTCCGCGACTTGTCCGTAAAAGTCGTGTATCTGTGTTTTGTGTGTATAGTCGGGTCGTGTGGACTTGAACCGTAGACTATAGGGTTAGTCTAGCAGCCTAGCTTAGGACTTTCTAGAAGTTGCTACTCGGCTCTTCGGAGCTGTAGGGGTCAGTCGTCCGTAGCTGAGTCGGCAAGGAACAGTCCAATCCCAGTCTCAGTCCCAGTCCACCTTGTCCAGTCAGCAAGTACCAGGTGGGGCTGCACACTCCTTGGGCCTGGGACCAAAGGCATGCCAGACCATCGACGAAACAATATAAATAAAGAGGCAGGGGCAAGTCATTCATTCATTCACCTGTGAGCCATGTGGAAGCGCTGCTTGTGCGACTTGTGCATCGGAGGTCTGCAGAAGCGCGATGACGAAGTGGGCTAGAGGAGGAAGACAGCGGCCCTAGCCGCTAGAGGAGGAGGAAGACGACAACGGCCATAGCCTTTTTGTTCGGGTGGGAATTTCAAACTGGCGCTCCACACACAATGCAAGGCAGCTACATCATGCAACATGGTTATGGTGTGCACAATGCAATGCACATACATCATGAAGTGGCTACGCCTCGAAAATGCAGCATTGTCGGCGTACATACCCCGGGTCCTGTGCAAATAGAGAAAACGGCCCGAGTCTGGAAATCCTGGGCATGACCAACCGAAAACGGCCCAGGCCCTGAACTGAAAAGCTGGGCCTGGGCGCAGGCACTGGGGCCCGACCGGAAGCTACTGGACGCTTCGCAGCCAGACCGCACGTAGCCAAACAGAGGCTGCCACTTTCATAGAGGAGGAAGGGCCGCCAGGGTCTGGCATTCTGGCCCATGCAGGCAATGCGGTCAAGCTGCTGCGTGCTACATTAGTGACCAAGGCGCATGCGGGCACTTGTGAGGTGAGAGGAATGTTGCTGAGCAGCGGAGCGCATGCAGCCATAACTGGCCTGCAGGGCGCAGGGGGGTAAGGGGCGAGGGGAGTGTGGAAGGTCAGGGTCTGATGAGGGGAGACGAGATACGTACCTGGTGCATGAGGGGAGGTCAGCTATGGTGTTGACGTCATGTACATTGGTCTTGAAAGTTGAAGTGAGCCTGTTGCATGAATGTGGATGTAGGAGGATAGGCAAGTAGTGTAGGCTGGGCGTTGGGCGCCTGTGGCATTCTGAGTCCACATGGGCCGTACATGCCCGACCAGATAGGCTAGGGGACGGATAAGGGGCACTTTTAGGACCGGTTAGGCCCTGTGTTGTTTCGGTCCAG